CCGGCTCTATCGCATCCTTCACCAGTAGGACTGCGATCTCCGCACGCAAGACAGGAGCATCGGCCGCCTTCACTGTCGTGAAGCGGATGCCCCTGAACTTGGGGGGACGCTGGGCGAACTGAATCGCATAGCCGAGGCTGATGGTCCGCAGAAGCCAGCGAGACGGGCCAGGTAGCGCTAGCCAGGCACTCAGATACCGTGCAAGCGGAGTATGCAGGAGGATGAGTGCGGTCCAGGGTTGAACCGTCCGCAACTCTCCGTGCCCTCTTGAGACCCAGAGATAGTGAAAACTGCTCTTTTGTCGAGAATTTGGGTACCGTTGACCGTGTGGCCGACGACAGGGAAAACAAAACAAAAGATTCTCTACCCGGCCCTCCTCCAGGGGAGGGAGTGGTGCGTTCACCATCTCCTGAAGAGCAGATCCCTCCATCTCTGGGTCTCCCGTCTCAGGGCCGCTTGCTCTTCCACTTGCCGCCAGGTTTGGCGGGGGCCTGGACAGGCTGCGCGGGGGCAGATGCAGAAATGCCCACGGTGACGAGCATGCTGGGCCGTTGTGCCCTGCGGGCGGGTGGAGGCAGCAGTTGCCTGCCGTGGCAGGATGTGTTGGATCGCCTCAGTCTGCTTCTGTGCAGCCGAGAACTGCTGGGCAAAGCTCTCGACCACGTTGCCGAAGAGGCCGGTCTGGGACACAGGGACATTAAGGATCCGAACCTTGTCGGCATCCCTCATGTCGGCCAGACACAGCTAGAGATGGCACTCCTGGACCTCAAGGATGGACATTGCACGACCCAGAGAGCCCGCGGTGAACTTCATCGCTCGAAGCGCGAGGCCAGTGGCTGTTCGGAGCTCTTTCAGAACTTCCGGATTTTGACCACCCTCGTGCAGGTCCTTCAGTGCCTTGGCCTGGTGCACCTGCAGTAACGCCATAGCATGTAAGGCGTTAGCAGCTTCCCCGCAAGCCATATAAGCACCGCCAGTCAGACCAGACGAATGCCTACAGGCCCGGGAAGGGAGCAACGGGTCTCCCTGCCAGAAGGAGGCGGTCTTAGAACACAACTGCATCACTACCGACTGCTCCACTGGGGGGATCGCTGAATACCCCTTCACTGCACCCCCGTCGAGGGTGGTGAGGGAGGAGGAGCTAGAAGGCCGGTTTCTGGCAGTAAAAGGTGCCGTCCACGACCTGGTGAGCTCGTCATGCACTTCTGGGAAGAAAGGCACCGGGGCGGGGCGCTGAGAACCAGCGTGAGCCACCCCGAGAAACCAATCATCCAACCTCGAGGGCTCGGGACGCGGTGGAGGATTCCACTCAAGCCCTACCGGGAAAGCATAGCAGACATCTCTGGATCCGATTCAGGCATTGCCACCGTCGCGGAGAGCGGCAGCGCAGCCGAATCTTCCTCTCCAGATAGCTCTCCCTCCGATGCAGTGATCGACATCTGATCATCGGGAGGAACCCCGAGTGATACTGCTGGTACGCTCTTTAAAGGGGGCCCAGCGCATTTCTTCGGCGGCTGGGCTGGTTGCGGAGCGCTGGAGGAGTGGTGGGCCTCTAAGGGTTGGTTCCCTGAGGGGTTTGCCACCACTGTAACCCTACTGCTGGAAGTAGTCCTCATCTGGCCGCCGCCAGAACGAGCACTAGAGCGCGGCAGAGGCAACGGAACTTCGCCCCCCTGGAGGTAGCAAAGCTTGGTCCGCAGCTCCGAGATGGTCATCTTCCCGCAATGGGAACATGACTCATCCACGAACACCACCTCAGCGTGCTTCATGCCCAGACACGTGAGGCAGCGATCGTGACTATCACCCGGCGTCAGGTAACGACCCCACCCAGAAACGCACGGGTGAAATGGCATCTTTAAAAAGACGATCCGTTGTCTTTATAAAGACGCACCCGTGGAGCTCTTTTAGAGAAATTGCTCTTTCAGGGAAATGCTCTTTTAGTGCTGAGGCGCACAGGGTAAATGGACGCTTGCAGCTCAACAGGGGGTAGTGCAGCCTGAAGTGCGCAACCCACTCGACACAGGAACGACCACCGCTGAAGCGCCGTCCGATAGGGAACAGGGATGACAGGACCCACATTCTTTGGCATACACTGCACATATTTGTTTACTTAATATTGTAAAGTTTTACCTTTTTAAATTGCATTATATTGTTTTGCACTTACTTGGCATAGTTGTATTAGTGAAGCACATTACATTTATAAGAGATCTAATGTTTTAACGGTATTGTAATTAGATCATGCGTCCATCTGTTTGTCTTAAAATATACAGATCTGGTTCAACTATTAGGCAAGGAAGATTATCAGATCTTGGGCTGCATTTGAAATCGCATACTCTCTGAGTAGGTACTTTTTTGAATAAGTAATTACTTCACAACTGCAAAAAGAGTATGTTCAATATAGTACGAATGTGTGTAGTATGAATGTAATCGAGACGTACTACATTTGTCATGTTGTCATTGCAGTCACTCTGCTTGTTTGTAATTGACCTTTAAAAATGACCTTTAAAAATGTTTGCATTTTACACAAATAACCTTTAAAACAGTGTGGCTAAGGTGACACCTAATCTATGTCATCACTGTTATCCACATGTCAAAACATGTTAATCTGAAAAGTAACAGGGCTGACAGTAACAGGTTTGAAGTTTTCGAGCTAATTGCTAGCTAATAGGTCAAGGTCACAAAAGCACATGTTGTACATTTTGAAAGGATATTACTTGTAGATATTGATTATATTAAATTAAATAAATAATTGTTTAAATTTATACTTTGAAAATGGTAACAGTATTGACATTGCATGATGTCCCCGCCCACTCCCCTCAGTCAAACCTCATAAATCATCAAAAATAGAACATTATAGAAGAGTGAGAGACACTTGCTTGTGTTTTAACTGTTGGAATCCTGGTTGAGAGATAAATTCCTGGAAGTGATGTCACTGGAATGTACCATGATTTTACTAGTTTTTTTTTTTTTGGTGAGTGTAACAGGGCTAACATTAAATCAGGGAACACCAATAAAATGACTGATATTTTATACAAATAATGTATACTTATGCCAAAAACGTTGCTTAATAATGAGACTATACACTATAACAAAATGCAAATGTGATTTTTGTATCATTTTGCCTTCAATTTGCAAATTGCCCTTATCAGCAAAAATACAATTTAAATTATTTAAAATAATATTTAATTGATGTTAATTTGATATAATATTGATGAAAGAATACATAGCATTATGTTTTTTATTTGTTGTTATAGTAATTCTGTTTCTATAGTAATTATATGTCTTGATTATATTAAAAAGGCACTGATTTCGTGGTATGACCCATAGTTCTGATAACAATTTTTTTTACAGTAGAAATGCTGCATTTTAAATGCATATCCTTTTCAAATTCTACTAAATGAATTGTTACTGACCCACATTTGTGAGTACCTAGACTTATCTGTATCTTTTACAACTTTTTTGCACAGGTGAGCTGCCTTTGTCTCTGGCCGCTTGCACTAATCAGCCTGACATTGTTGACTTCCTTATGAACAATCCATACCAGGCAGTGGATGTCAGGGAGAGGGACTCTCATGGAAACACGGTGCTTCACGCACTAGTATCCATAGCTGATAACAGTCCTGAAAACACAGAGTTCGTCATTGCCATGTATGACCACATCTTATTCAAAGCCGACCAACTTCACCCCAAGATCAAGCTGGAGGAAATCGAAAATAATGAAGGATTCACCCCACTCACATTAGCTGCCAAAACAGGAAAAGTTGTGGTAAACCTTCATTTTTCTGGTGTCACTGTATGTTGAATGTCCAAGAATATGAATAATTTCATTATGTCTTGCAAAATGCCAGTATTTATTTGAAGGAGTGATTCGTTTGAAGCAGTGCGTATTTCTTTAAGTGTCAGTTCTGTATTCTGTTTTTGAATGTTCCTGATTTTGTGTAGATGATTAGTCCTCATGTGATTTGAGATGGTATTTCCCTTCAGCACATGGCATTAAATCAGACAACACACTGATTCATAGTCATGTAGTCTACAGTGACAGTCTAACCTTATTTATCCTAAAGTCACAGTTTAATGTATTTATTTATTGTATTGCTTTTGTTCTATATTTTAGTTGATGTTGTTGTTGGCTTGGCTGATTAATAAAATCAGTGCATTGCCAAAGACAAGTGACTAAATAGAACATATTTGACAGTAATTTGACAGATTTCATTCCTCATTTGTTAACTAGCTGTTAAAGCACATCGTGCAGCGGGAGTTTAAGGGATGCAAACATCTGTCACGGAAGATGACGGAGTGGGCCTACGGTCCAGTGTGCTCGTCTCTGTATGACCTCGCCTCTCTCGATACCTATGAGAAGAACTCCGCGCTGGAGATAATCGTTTATGGCAGTGAGATTCCTGTGAGATGACATGCTGCTTACTTGATATTAATTAGTTATGCAATCTAAAATGCATAATTAGAATTTACTACTTTAATGAAGCAAAATGTTTCATTTGTAAAGAAGCTACATGGATTTTGATAAATGCTGTTTATAGCATCATGCTTGGTTATTTCATCTGATTTCAGAATCGCCTCGAGATGCTCAATATTGAGCCATTTAACAGGCTGATTGAAGAGAAGTGGGAGAGATTCGCGCAACGGATGTTCTGGTTCAACTTTATTGTTTATGTTATCTACCTTTTAATCTTCACTGCAGTAGCTTTTCACCGTGAAGAAGGGAAGGACTTTAGCAACAACCAAGTAGGTATACATCCCAGAGGTGGTGACTACAAAAAGGGTGTGAAATGGACAGGGGTTTGGCTTTGCATCACATTTCATGCTATAGACATGAACATTTCTGTCTATATTGTCTTGGAGAAAATAAAACAAACTTCTCTGGGAAATATGCAAACTTGCAACTAATTCCAGTTCAGTGTCTGATTTAAACTATTCTTTGTGCATGCTTACTGTAAATGCTTCAATATTTAATGCCATGTCTCATCCCCGCTTTTTTCTTTTCAGTCATTAAAGCCTCCATTTCGTTACAAAAATAATAGCAAAGGCTACCTGCTTCTGACAGGACACATCATAACAACCATTGGAGCACTTTACTTCCTAATTAGAGGGGTATGTATCTAATGCTGTTTGTTTAAAACAATTTCATATATAACGTTCTCTTTTTTTATTATTTTTTTTACAGAAATTAATGAATTCCCTTTTCTTTTAAGTTAAGAGATATGTTAAGAAAGCGTCCAGGATTTCAGTCCCTGCTCATAGATGGATACACCGATCAGCTTTTGTGAGTCCTTTGAATCTCTTGTTTTATTTGAGTATTAATCATTTCCTATTACAGATCAATTTGCTTGAAATTACATTCTTTGCTAATAATTCTTCTATATATTCTATTTTTTAAATCAATGTATATATATTCTCTATATGCACATGCACATCGCAAAGTTAAATTGCACTAGTCAAACTAATTTTTCCTACAGAAACGGTAATTATTAAGTGCCTACATGGTTCATTCCTGGTTTCTGTTGCATTAGTTTTCTGCAGGCCGTGCTCTTCCTGGTGTGTGCTCTACTGTACTTCTTTGGTCAGGATGAATATGTGGCCTGTCTAGTTCTGTGTCTTGCCTTGAGCTGGGTAAATCTACTCTACTTCTCCAGGGGGTCCAAAAATATGGGAATCTACAATGTCATGATACAAAAGGTGAGTGATAATTGTCTTTCTTATCCATCATCCTTTGCTCTGGCCTTCAGATTAGCGTATTAGTAAAGTATGGTTTGTGTAGCACTATAGAAAGATGCTATGCAACACATTTAATGCCTCATTTTAGTGTACACCAGTCTTTACAGTTCAGGCTTTTTACTTCATGTGTGTACGACACACTCTCACACTCTTTAATTATTGTCAGATGGTTCTTGGAGAAATTCGTCGATTCCTTGTCGTGTACATGGTCTTCCTCATTGGGTTCTCTGCAGGTATATTTGCATACATTCATGAATGTCCTTGACTCTTTTATTACAATTAATTTATTATTTATCACAGCACAACAAACATTTCCCAATTACACTACTGCTCAAAAGTATGGGGTCAGTAGGTTTTTAGATTTTTTAAAATACATTTTATTCAGCAATATATATATATATATATATATATATATATACAGTATGTCACAGAAGTGAGTACACCCCTCACATTTTTGTAAATATTTTATTATATCTTTTCATGTGACAACACTGAAGAAATGACACTTTGCTACAATGTAAAGTAGTGAGTGTACAGCTTGTACAGTGTAAATTTGCTGTCCCTTCAAAATAACTCAACACACAGCCATTAATGTCTAAACCGCTGGCCACAAAAGTGAGTACACCCCTAAGTGAAAATGTCCAAATTGGGCCCAAAGTGTCAATATTTTGTGTGGCCACCATTATTTTCCAGCACTGCCTTAACCCTCTTGGGGATGGAGTTCACCAGAGCTTCACAGGTTACCACTGGAGTCCTCTTCCACTCCTCCATGACGACATCAC